AGTAACAAAGCTTTCCTTATCAGAAAAAGATCCTCAGAAAGATTGATTACAACACATACCGAGTCCAGCGAATACCAAGTGTTCAGCTTTTTTGGTTCATTCTGAGGTCAAGTGAAAACAGACATAAGGCAGTCCACAGTGTTTTAGGACATGACTTGTAATCCACCTTTCAACGAATCAGTCATCGCGATAAGGGAAACCTACGCTAATCCATTAGAGGTGAGCTGCCATTATAGCCAGCACTCAGGGAAGGCTGAATAAGATGGACCTCTTATCAATAAATGGTTTTGGCCCACTGGGAAGTCAGTGAAGAGCTTGATGAACACCACCATCCTGATTACTGAAGGTCAAGATGAGGGAAACTAGTCCATACTCTGAAATTCTGAAATTATTGCAGGTAGCCCAAGTTTGTGAATTAAGACAAATCAATATTCTCAAGACCAGTATTAGGCACGATCTCCTTTCCCTCTAAGATAATAGGACGTAGCTGCCTTATGACCCCTTCTGCTAGCATTAGAGGAAATCGGCTCTACAGCTGCAGGGAAGGACCTATCGTCAAAGCAGCACCTCAGAAAAAAGAACGGTTAGTGATGTGAGCATGCAGACACATACAAGGCCAGACATGGGAACAAGAGAGTCCAATACCTAACCCACATGTAAAAAGGTAACACCTCAGTCAGAAGGAGGTGCAGAAATTGGAAGGAGGAGATGGAAGTAGGGCATGCCCAAGCCTTACACAGATTCAGAGAATCAAAATGCATTGGGAACTGAGTGTGCACAGGCCATGCAACCAAAACAGAATAAGTAATATTTTCTCTGAAGAAAATCTGTGGCAGGACCTGGAACTTCAGGTGACCTACTTGTTAAACCCAAGGCACAACATGGCAAATATCACTGTATTTGTACATTCTACTGTACAAAATTTTATATTGGCAAATTCCTGAAACAGGGGATATTGCCTATTTTCCAGTATCTCAAACAGCAGAAGATACAGATCAAAGAAAGCTGCTAAAGAATGCCTATGTGGATAACTGCATTTCATCTAGAAGATGCTACTTACCTTCAGAACACCGGCTATGGTGGCAATCTGAATTAGAAGGAACATGCCATGAACTGGATGTGTCTAACACAGAACCTCTTTTTTTTCCCCCAGAACCAACTGTGGCTTTGAGGGAAATAATGAGCATTCTAAGAACGTACTGCTGGTGAAACTATACCAACATCAGTCCCAAAACAGTCTGAAACATGCTCTCCTTACAGAAACAGTAACCACCTGGAGCTCTCTCAGAGCAAAGTGGACTTTGACAGTGGTTCCAGTGGAACCTGAGGAAGATAGATGGCTGTACAATGTTAATTCTGTAGCTTGAGGGCAAGTACGTACGGACATTTAAAGCAGAGAGGGGAAAAAAAGAATGCAAATGCTTTGGTTAACATTAAACTGAGATTGCCATTGCTGCTCTGCCTTAAAGGGAAAAAAATGCCCATACCAGTGAAGAGCACTACAAGGGAGGAGTACTCTATGCAGCTCACTACCATAATTACCAGTTTATGTCTGAAATTAGCTTGTGCTAAGCATCCTTGGATAGAAGGGATTTTCAAACAATACATGTTTATGACACGGTGCTCCATCAAGTAGAAAAGGTAATTTGTCCATCCTGAGCTATCTGGAGTTTGAATCCTGTGTCTCCATAAACTATTCTGTAACTTTGTGATTGACAGGGGAAAAAAAGCTCTCTATGTTCTACCATAGAGTGTATGTAAAAATAAAATGTATTTATTTTTAGTATTTGGCTCTAGATGGAAGTGTGAAGTTAAAAATATCTTCAGGAAAAAGGTTGAAAAAAGTTTAGGGTGCAAGATAATCTCAGAACAACAAACTTTGGTCTCCACTGAGAACCACCCCTGCTGTGGGCAGTAAGAGCCAACCATCACCCAACTCTCTACTCACCCCTACAGCAGTACATGACAACACAGGGCATATGTCTGATCCACACAGAGCTTTCAAAGAAAATCTAGCATCAGGCAGACACACACTTATAGACATGAAAACCAACAGCTTAGCAGGGCTTCAAAATGGCACATATGTGAAACATCACCTTCCAGTTACACCGTATGCATAGTACATCTTTAAATACTGACATGACAATTGAGCAGTCAGGGCTCTGTGAGACATTTCAAATCGGTGGTATAGCCCTTGCTCTCTTAGCCTCTTTCACCACTCTGGCCATGCAGTCCCCTCCTAGTGCCAGCCAGGAGGTGAGGGTATATTTGCCTTCATTTGGTGCTCCTCTCACCATGCTGGAAGCTGTAGCTCCTTTTGTTTTTAAAGGTGGGACAAGGAAAGGGCATGCATCACAAAAACACTCTGCCAGGAAACATTATGGTGACAACAGCTATCATTCAGGAAAAGACAAGCTTTTCCTTTCTTGAAAACAAATACCACAAAAAGTATTCTTGCTATCCATCACATGTTCTTGCTTAAAGCAAACTACTGATATAAACCAACCTTGGAATACCTGACATATCTTGACCTGCAATGCAACATCCCTCCCCTGGGGAAACAATGCAACCAACTCTTCTACCACAAAGAAGCCACCGTCACCTTGTTGACTACATAACTCCATAGTGATCGATCTCTTACAAGTAACACCCATGTGTTATAAACATCAGCAGAAACTTGAGTAACCAGATCCTCTTGTATTTCCATCTCCCCTAGACTCAGTATGGTATTAACTGTAGCTCAGTGAAGACCTGCAATACCATTTTAGAGAGGATACTGAGACTTTAAGAATTGTTTTTGTTCCAATTTGGCACAAAATGCAAAACATTTTGAAATCCTGCACAAACAGAAAGGATTGTTCTCCACCTAATTCTGGAATAGTCCAATTTATGAGAATAGTCTACGACCAAAGCAGAGTTCAACAGCCAATGCTACATTTCCTGGAGCTGTGAGAGCTACCACAGCTACACAATGGCAAGTCAACCACCACCTTTCCCTGCCCACAGGACCCCGTGATGCACAGCGACTGCCGAAGTCCACCAAGTACATTCTCCGTTGCTGACATCTACCTCGGCCATTAATACAGTGGGGCTGTTTCAGGTTTTGTTGGGGGGGGAGCGGGTTTTGTTAAGGCAAGGCCCTCTGAGTCACCAGAACTAGAAAGGGAAGAGAAGCCAATTTGGTGAGAAAATAGAGGAAAAAGAATGTACCATTCACAGACTACTCTCTGTTACTGTCCAGGCTTGTTACAGAGGTAGCTCTTAGGCAAACTTCACAGATGGGCGAGTGGAAGAAAAACTGCTTTTGACAAATAATCTAGATGCACATACCATGCACTTTTTTTCCCCCTTCCAAACAGAACTGTTTAAGTACTGTTTCTAACCGAGCACAAAACCTCAAGCCATCAAAGTTTCCAAATCAGCAGTACAGTAGAATTTTTTATGAAAATTAACAAATGCAAAAAATGCAGTGTTCCTTCAAACACCTGAAGTTCCTGAACCCTCTGGATAAAACCAGCACTTCCTTCTTTTATTCTCTGAAGTGACATTATCAATGTTCCGCTAACCCTATGTTCCTTAATTAGCTACGCTTGCTTTCATAGACATTCTAGTTTTATATCATATACAGCCTGTTTTCCACACATGCACCTGTTTTCATCAAATACAACTTACTGTTAATCCTACCCACTACTAGTGGATATTACAGGAAAGAGTAACTTCAGTCCTCTACTAAAGAAATGACATTTATGTAAAATACCTATAAATCTGGAATTCTTTCAATACATGAGAGAAAATATTGTTCTAGCTAATAAGTACTCTAATCAGCAGTTAATTATTTGTGTGTGCATATAAACTCATCATATGGCTATCTATATATTCTCATGTGTTACATACACCTACACGTATAATTTTACACACTTGCTTCATCAGCAGAACAGGCTACTCAGAATACCATTAATAAGGAAAGTAACTTCAGTCCTCTACTAAAGAAATGACATTTATGTAAAATACCTATAAATCTGGAATTCTTTCAATACATGAGAGAAAATATTGTTCTAGCTAATAAGTACTCTAATCAGCAGTTAATTATTTGTGTGTGCATATAAACTCATCATATGGCTATCTATATATTCTCATGTGTTACATACACCTACACGTATAATTTTACACACTTGCTTCATCAGCAGAACAGGCTACTCAGAATACCATTATGGAAAATACTTGTATCAAATCTTTTCTCCAGACCTGCTCCTTCCATCTTCTTGGCACTGAAGGCTGGAAAACTTTGTCTTGATATGTTAAAGTTTGTATGAAGAGCAAACCAGAGAATTCAATTCCAGTTCAACTTCTGATTTAAAAAACAAGTTATGTTCAGCTTCTTGTGTATCAAACCTGAATATGTATTACAGAGATAGGACTAACATTGTAATGTCAATTTTTGCTAAACTGAAGTCACGCTCACAAACTGAACATCTACAGAGTCTACTGAAAGTGACAGACTGCACTTTCATTGGAAAACAGGCATTTAATTTGTTAAGAAGAGATTAACAGTGATAATGTTCTTAGACAACAGCATCTGAGCACACACCCATTACAGCATATTTATCCAAACCCAAACTTTGGTCCTAAATCCTAATAGCCCTGCCTCTAAGTGTAGCTTAACACTGTCTTGAAATAAAACTAGGGTAATACATCATACAGAAAATAACTTACATATTCAATGCCTAAATAAAAAAACATTTAAAATTTCATAACAGGTTACAGTAAAATGCACTAGGTTTCTGTAGAAAAAGAACATTTCTTTCCTACAAATATTCAAGGAGCCTCTAAGCTCCACCACAATGTATAAACACATACCTTTTTGTAGCAGAAGAAAACAAACACAATTATATGTAATTTCGAAAAATCACTCACTTGCCACCAAACTGAAAAGGGAAATGGGCTTCACGTGTCCAATCATACTAGTGGAAAAATTGTTACTTAATATTCAGGTTACTTACAGATTTGTTGTCCAGCCTGCAAGATCTCCGCTGTCCATAATAAGGTGATTTCCATCCAGGAGCCCGGAGGGACTACTAGAGAAGGCAGGTGTTGGAGACTGGGAAGAAAGAGAATCCATGCTCCCAGTTGGGGTGTCTTCTCTGGGAGAGCTGTGACTGTCAGCTAGAAAAGAGAGCACAAGTTAGAAGGATACTAAAAGAACATTCTCACAAGCCAAAGAAGCTGCTTTGGTAACATGTCCTGAAATACATACAAGAAGAAACCTTACTGTCCCATCTTGACAGGATATTTTGGAGGACAAACAATCCCCCAGCATTTCCCCAAAAGGCACCATTGCACAATTTCCGCCATCATTATCACCAGGCTACCTTCACAACACAACATATTCCCGGTCCCCTTTTCAACATGTGTTTTATGTGGATGAAATGCTAGATTTTGGGGGGTTGTTTTTAGACAAATGTGTCACCTGAGATAACAAAATACTTTAGGCTATACACATTTGCGTGTGTCTCTAAAAACACAGTCTCTAAAAATAATTTAATACACATTTGAGGAAATGATTGCTCTCAAGTACCGTAAGCAGAATCCTATCAAACGTGAAACAATGAAATTTAAAAAGGTCAAAATAAGCAGGAGATCTCTAGCAAACACGCAATACCCAAGAACGTTACTTTTATTACCCCTTTTTAACAGTGTTACTTTTAAGAGAACTCATTGTATTCTGGTCTACTATTTGTTTTCATAGGCTACTATTAGAATATCACTCAGGAGGCAACACATTCAGAAATGATTGCTTAAGAAAACATTAAAGGAACACCATTCATATCCCATGGACAGTAAGAAAAAGTTACCAAAGTGTCACAGCACTCACTGCAAATCATCTGACACATCTAGCCAAACAGCATGGTCTTCCCTGAAAAGCTAACCTTCACCTACAGAGCTTTTCCTTTTTAATTTTTTATTTAAACATCAGCTGTACATTTTATAAATTCTAAAGGACGAGTATGAAAAGAGGACAATTGCAAACATTAAAGTGTCCAGCACAGCTAAGCCCACCGTCTCAAATGGGGCCTGTGGCTGTTTTCAGAATATTAATATTTAACAGTAATAAGGATCACTTCCAGCCACCCTTTACAAGGCTCTCCACATCCTTTCCTTTCCTCCTCTGTCCATCCTACTCCCACTAGCACCCACGAACATGGCCCACAGCCCTGCTAAATAACATCACAAAAGTCCCTCTAGAGTGGATCAGATACCGCTGACACCACAGTCTTGGTAAAAGAGTTCTGCTCCTCCAGGACCAAAAGCTTTGCAGGGAAAAAAATGAACAAACCAAGTCCTAACACAGCATCACAATATCGTGATGAAAAACTGTTAAAATATTGTGCTTGCTTGACAAGCTGTATCTCTTATATACAGTACTATACAAGATGAAGTATTAGATCCGCACAGCGAACAACTGAGCTTAATTCTACTCCATCAAGCTAAGCAGTACTGTTGCAATGATTTCTTTCTTTTATTTTTTTTCCTTAATTAAAAATGCAACAACAATGAAACGTGGACAATGAAAAGCCACCTTCGCTGGATAAAATCCTTCTCACAACTTTATTACTGCCTCAACCAGTTCAATTCCTTCTGCTTCAAAAGCAGAAAGCTAACAAAGCACTCGCCCGCTTCCCCAGCCATCTCGTCCTCACCCCTTCCCAGCAACTCTCAGAGAACAGCTTCCCTAGAGAGTAAAATGACACACAACTAAAAACACCGAAATGATAAAAGTGATCATCTGGAAATTTCTCCCTAAAGCAGCTGCTAATTTAAGGATCTAAATTAGCCTGTAGTAACAAAGTATGATAAGCTCTGAGGAGGAGAACGTTAACCTGGGAAAGTGAGTCACTCGCGCTCCAGCCCAATCCTGCTCACCTCACACCTCCTTGCTGCACCCAGGCCAGAATGCTGCCGCTCACGTTTACATGACATGACATGAAACCGTAGGAGTGTCAGGTAAAAACTAATTAATTACATCTCATTTGCAGACGTATGTGTCACAATGATAAAAATCTGAGATTAGACAGTAATACTGCAATTTTACTTTGCAAAGAAACTGAATTCCTTAAAACTAAATAGACTTAAGTCCTTTTAATTCATCACAATTTCTTTTCAAAGTAGTAGTATTAACCAGATTATCAAACTACAACATTACTAGAACAGCAGTAGAAAGGAATATTAATCTGTTCTTTAATATTACAAATATGACCAACTCACCACACCCTCCTACAGAAAGCAGAGGTTTTTCTGTTGAATCGTTTCTCAGAGCACACAGAAAAAGTAAAAAAATACCTAACGCTTCAGTCGTGCACAGCAGAGTCTACATTGGAGACTGCAGTGTACAAGCAATTGCATTTGACATTATCATAAATGAAACTGCGTATTAAATCTTTCCTCAAATTTTCTTCTTCCTTCCCTTCCTTCCTGAGGCAGCGTTTTCTCCCGGTCAATACTGTATTGCAGTCTCAAGAATAAGATCGGGTTTTGAACACTAAAAACAAATCAGGTATTTAAACAGGAAAACGCCTGCTAAATTCTATTGGATCAAGTGAACACCCTCTAAAAACACGTTCAAAGATACTTTACATTTCTGATGTTTCCAATGACCTGCTTTTGTAAAGTAAAACAATACCTTTATTCAGGAAAAGGCAATTCTGTATAACTGTAAAAACAGATGACTAATGATTATCTAGCACATTTTCATGATTAAAAACAATATATGCTCAAAACCTAAGTCTTTGAAATATAGCGTCATTGCTCAAATTTCAGGAGTACAAAGATTTCACCCTGTATGTCGGTGACAAAAAGTTCTGCTAACTTCAGAAATTATAGTAACTCCTGTACATGGCAGAGGCCATAGAATTTTATCTAGTTCTCTCTCTAAGCTTAATAACCTGCTTTTGATTAACGCCTATCTCATGTTGTGCCAAACTGTATCTTCCAAAGAGTCTTTGTCTGAAGACATCAGCAGATGATAAAGGTAATGGAGAATCAATTGGCTGCTAATTATCATACTCACTGATGAATGCATGTACCTTCACTTTGTTAGGCTTTATTTTCAGGCATGACCCATGTAATGTGCACTGCTAATAATTACAGTATCTCTCATATCCGTTTTTTCTGCTGTGTGAAGGTATAGAAACTATCTCCTTTAGAAGTTTAACACTAAATCTCTTACTGTAAGGGATTTTGCAGTTTTGGAATCATGTACCTGTTTTATAAACCTGTTACAATTTCCCAGAATTCTTTCTGAAGAGCGCACATCAGATCTGAATTCATGATTTTTTGTTGTGGTCCCACGAGTGCCATGTTGAGCGTTAATTCCACCACTTACTCCTACTCATCAATCCCCTGTTTGTACATGCAAGGCCAGCACTTTTTTGCCATGGCTTTAAATTAATAGTTTATGATGAGCTGATTGCCCACTGTGACTAACAGACTTTGCTAAGTCACTGTTTTCAAGGATGTAGTCCTCCATTCTGTAGCTACAGGCTACATTTTTCCTCCAAAATCTGTAAATTTATTTCTCAGTACAACCAAGCTTATTTTGTTTGAATGGGTACAGCTTAGCACATGACCACAACTCCTACGTAACTGCCATTGTCATTATTTGCAATTCCTCCTAACTTTGTCCCATATGTAAATATATCATTAAGGATTTGTATTTACCTTTCTAAATACTGCTACTACATTAGCATTCCTCCAGTTTCTTCAAACTTCTTCAGCATGCTACAAGATGTTTTAAGAATTAACATTGCCAAGCCATACAACCCCATAACCAGAGAACTTTTTTAGGACAAGTTAGATGGCTTCACATTATTCAAAATGTTCACCTTGCAACAGGACTACCTGTGAAGATTTCTGCTTGATCCTGCTGATTATAAATCCCACATCAATTTTCATAGCTAAGTTCTTTTTAACAATTCTTCAAAACTTGTAACATATATTGACTGCTAGCTATTTTCTCTTTTTCCCCCCCTACCCTACCCTTTTCCTGTATTTTGCTGTGTGGAGCAAGTAAAGATCCTAAGCTGCTGGAGATTAAAAAGTCTTTAAAGTTTTGACATGGTTGGTTTGTTAAAGAGTGTGTTAAGGACATTGCTGGAATTGATTCAGCTTTGTGGTTTTCATTTTACCTTGGAATTCAGGGGCTCCCTAATATTGATAGTCTAATATTTTTACTGTTTCTCTCCTCTCACTCCTCTTTACCTCCAACATTGTTCTCCAGTGAGTAGCGTTGTCAGGTTTCCCACTTCTATGAAAAGGCTGACTGCCACATTGGACTGACAGGTCCTTTTGAAGAGGAGCTCCTGAAACTTCCTATTCTTCTTTTCTACCACTTGAATTCTAATGAGCTCTTACACTACAAAATAGGGAAGACATGATTTCTTTTAAAGCTCATTTAAATCATTCTTTGAGCATACAGTTTGGTGTTCTTGGTGTCTCCATTTTCTCTCCCTAAAAATGTCAATCCCCCTCCCTTTTCTCTCCCATTACACTCTTATCTTAGGGTACCAAAGAGTGCCAGAACAGATGAAATACATGAGGGTTCTCAGTATAAAAGCAGTAAGTCTGTATGATGTCTCATAAATTTTTGTCAACACTTCAGCCATCAACTTTTCTTTATACTTGTGGGAAGCCTCTGGGTGCCTTCGGCCTTCAGCTTGGCCATCTTTCTAGAGTTGCCACCAAGCCGCTTCTATGATTCATCTCCTCATCCTATGCAAATAGGTGTAAGAACCAGTTTTACTCTCTAACAGAGTTAAAACTTGTTTCACATTCTCACCACCTTTTGCATACTATTTATATTTTTTGACTGCTCAGATCCTTTTAAACTGTCATCTAAATTATCTTCTTGTTTCACTGTTCTAATCACAACACTCATCCAAGCCTTAGAGCTTTCAGTGCACCTCTGCAACAGATACCCGTGCTTTGCCTTTACGACTGTTCATAGTTCAGACCAGCCCTATCTAGAAAATGATAGCTTAGGTTGATCCTAACCATTTACTGGTTGTGTCTAGCTGGTACTACTTACCATTCGGTTTCTAACGCAAATATCCTTCCTCCTTCCCCCCCTCCCTGCCTCGTGTCACCCTTTCTCATAATGAAGAATTCCC